CCGGCAACGTCTACATCAACGACAAATCCACGGGGGCCGTGGTGGCCCAGCAGCCCTTCGGGGGAGCCCGCATCTCAGGTGACACCAGCGGGGCTGGACAGCCCCCCTGTGGCCCTCCTGTGCTCTGTGTCTCATGTCCTCCTGTTCCTCCATGTCCTTCCTTGTCCCCATCCTTCTGTGCCCCTCCTGTCCCTCCATGTCCTTTGTTCCTCCTGTTCCTCCATGTCCTTCCTTGTCCCCATCTTTCTGTGTCCCTCCATGTCCCTCCTGTCCCCTGTGTCCCTCCTGTCCCTCCATGTCCTTCCTTGTCCCCATCTTTCTGTGCCCCTCCTTGTCCCTCCTGTCCCCTGTGTCCCTCCTGTGCTCCGTGTCACTTTTCCTCCTGTCCCTCCATGTCCTTCCTTGTCCCCATCCTCCATGTCCCTTCTGTCCTCTGTGTCTCTCCCGTCCCTGCCATCCTCCTTGTCCTTCCATGTCCCTGTTCTGTGTCACTCCCATCCCTGTGTCCCTCCATGTCCTTCCCATCCTCCATATCCCTCTTGTCCCTCCTTGTCCCCATCCCTTGTGTCCCCTGTGTCCCTCCTATCCCTCTGCATTCCTCCTGTGCTCCTTGTCCCTCCATGTCCCTCCCATCCCTTGTTCTCTGTGTCCCTCCCATCCCTCCATGTCCCTCTGTGTCCTTCCCATCCCTCTGTGTCCTTCCTGTTCCTCTGTGTCCCTCCTGTATCTCCTGTCCCTCCATGTCCTTCCTTGTCCCCATCCTTCCTGTCCCTCCTGTACCTCCATGTCCCTTCTGTCCTCTGTGTCTCTCCTGTCCCTGCCATTCTCCTTCCATGTCCCTGACCCGTGTCCCTCCGTGTCCTTCCCATCCTCCATATGCCTCTGTATCCCTTCTGTCCCTGTGCATCCCTCCTGTCCCTCCTTGTCCCCATCCCTGCTGTGGTCTGTGTCCCTTGTCACTCAGTGTCCATCCCATCCCTCCAAGTCCCTCCTGTGCTCCTTGTCCTTCCATGTCCCTCCTTGTCCCCTGTGTCCCTCCCATCCTTCTCTGTCCCTCCACATCCCCATCCTCTGTGTCAGTGTCCCTCCTGTGCTCCTTGTCCCTTGTTCTCTGTGTCCCTCCTGTCCCTCTGTGTCCCTCCATGTCCCCATCCTTCCTGTCCCTCCATGTCCCCCCTGTCCCTCTGTGACCCTTCTGTACCCTATGTCCCTCCATGTCCCTTCTATTCCTGTGTCCCTCCATGTCCCCATCCTCTGTGTCCCTCTGTGTCCCTCCATGTCCCGCCTGTTCCTCTGTGTCCCTCCCATCCTTCTGTGTCCCTCCTTGTCCCTCCTGTCCCTGTGTCCCCCTGTGTCCCTCCCATCTCTCCCTGTCCCTCCTGTGCCCTATGTCCTTCTGTGTCCCCATCCTTTGTGTCCCTCCCATCCCTCCATGTCCCTCGTGTTCCCTCTGTGTCCCTCCTGTATCTCCTGTCCTTCTGTGTCCCTCCATGTCCCTCCTGTCCCTGTGTCCCTCCCATCTCTCCCTGTCCCTCTTTGTCCCTCCTGTACCCCATGTCCCTCCTGTCCTTTGTGTCCTTCTGTGTCCCCATCCTTTGTGTCCCTCCCATCTCTCCATGTCCCTCCTGTTCCCTCTATGTCCCTCCATGTCCCTCCTGTCCATGTCCCTCTTGTGCCCCTTGTCCCTCCATGTGCTCCCATCCCTCTGTGTCCCTCCATGTCCCTGCCACCCCCCTGGTGTCACCACCCCTGTGTGTCCCCACAGGCACCAATGACAAGCCCGGGGGTCCCCATTACCTGCTGCGCTGGACGTCCCCCCAGGCCATCAAGGAGACGCACGTGCCGCTGGGGGACTGGCGCTACGCCTACATGCAGTGACCTGGGGACAGCCTGGGGACACGGCCACCCCCCCACTGCACTCACACTACTGACCCCGACCCCCCTCCCCTCATGGGAATTCTTTAAAAAAGGAAAAAACTAAAAAAAAAACAAAGCGTTGTTCAATGGTGAAGCTCAGAGCTCCTGTGTGTCCTGGGTCGGGTGGCACTTGGGGACACGAGGGTGATGTGGCAGTGGTTGGATTTGGTGGCTTTAAAGGTTTTGTCCAACCTTAGTGGTTCTGTGTGAGCATGCTTAATTAGCTCATTAATTAAGGGGTGGCTGCAGAGGCACAGCTGGACCCAGCTCCCTTTTCCTCCCTTTTCCTCGTGGTCTCCCATGCCCAGGGCAGTTCCCTCTCCAAGGGGCTGAGCAG